CCCAGTTTAGTCCGCTCTATCTACACAAAAGTGATTGGCAAAAAAGTTCGGGACACCCTGTATGTATATATATATATATAAATTTAAAAAATTTTGAAATTCTTTAGACTAAGGAAATTATCGCTTATTTTTATATTAAGGCATAATTCTTGAGTCATAAACAATTAGAAAATAAAGAGCTTTAGGAAGCCCATCTAAAAATCATCTAGAGTATTTAAAACAATAAACAATTAAGTTAGACTTTTTACTACGATTTGATGATAAAAATTGAATAATAAAATTGAATAATAAAGATTAAATAGTTGAAATAGCAATATTAAATTAAATTATATAATATTAAATAATATTAAATCAATAATACTAATGCAATAATACTAAATTAAATATTGTGGATTAAATTACTTATAACAAAACTTTACTAAATTACTGACAATTATATAGAATTCAGTTATTTATAATAACTTGTTATAATTGTACATTATATAATATACATAAAAAGTGCAATTGTTCAAAGTAATAATTCAGAAATATCTCTGAAATACTTTTTACCTATTCAAGTTAAATAAACAACCTATTTCTTTATATATTCTTTCTTCTCATAAAGCGACATAATTTTATAATATATTTCTTAAATAAGTACAAAAGAAAAATTAATAAATTGCACAAAATTGATAAAAGCAGAATGTGTAAATGCATTTGTGCTTAATGTAAAATTAATATTAATATTAAATCTTTTGTTAAACGTAACTTACATGGACAGACGTTGTTGTTGTGAATTGTTAAATGTCTGCATTTCATCGCAACTTTCTCCACCACTGCTGGATGCTGTACAGTCCGAATCCAAGTTAGATTCCAAAATATGTAATTGCGTGGACAAAGATCCAGCCATATTTTCCACTTCTTCACCATTTAGTTTAACCTGAGGGGTACCAAATACTGGCTGACGATTACCGTTATTGCCAGATGTACCACCCACGTTATCACGTGACCCTCCACCAAAGTATCGACACACTCTTTGACGATTCACACTATTACTCTGAGCAACACACATTTTCTCAATTTTCTGCAGAAACGAATGTAAACTACCACCAATCTCAGGAAAGTTTCTTACGTTGGATTTCGAACCAATATTAACCAATTCTTGTAGAAGATATTTTTTTACTCCGTGATGGGCTAATTCGAGAACACCGGTATTCTCTTCTGCCACGTGTCTGCCTATTATTCTCATTTGAAGTTTCCTCAGTCTTCTCATTAAAAACGCGCATCTCCTTTCATTCTCGAATTGTTTCTGTGCCACAATGTCCTGTTGCATTCTCAAACTGTTGGACTTTTGCTGGTCCACCGTGTCCACTGTGATATTCATATTATCGTTGCAAAGACTCATAACGTCCACGTCGTTAAGTAAATCCCGTTCGAAGGACGCGAATCCTTCCTCGGGCATAGCAAACATTTCCACGCTGTCGACAGCGCCTTGCACTGGCTCACCACCGTCCGTAGAAATGTTCTCGGTACTCCCCGCGCCCTCTATCGAATTAATGACCTGTAAAATCTCCTCCACGTTGTGCCCGATATCAGCGACATTCGCCATGTTGCACTGCTCGGCCGCGATATCGGTGCCGAAGGCCATGATCTGATCGACGTCCAGATTCTTATTGTCTTCCGTTTCGGTCTCATTAGCCACTAGGGGCAAGTCCACGCTCGATTTCAAGAAACCCATGTTGTTCGTTTGATCACCCATAGATGGGTCGTTCATTATAATGTCGATCTCCTTCCCCTCGGCGTGACCGGCGTCCGGCAGCGTGACCGGCCGCTCAAAGTCCTCCTCCTCTTCTTCCTCCTCCTCCGCCGCCTCCGCCGCCGCCGGCGCCGCCGCCTGCTGTTGCAAACACGCCGCACCGTTCCTCGATCCGATCAAGTCGGACGCATTCGTAAACGCGGATAGCGAGTCGAGGTTGTTTGCGTACTTGGAGTTAATGACATCGCGTATGAGGTCCTTTGAGATACCATGCAAGCACTGCTCGTCGATCTTCGACGGTTGCACGTTCGCTGGCACCACAAACTTGGAGAGAATCTCACGGTTTTGGCACACCTGCGTGGCCTGATCGGGGGACAGAAAGCCGCTGGCGGCTGGTAGGGTAGGGAGCAAGTTTTCAGGCTTTTGAGGACCACCTTCCGTCAGAGCAGGGGCCATCACTGCCACTGACGCTGCCAGTGCCGCGGCCTCCACATCCAGAGGCTCCCACGACGTGCCACAAAGTGCGCGTCCGCCGCTCCTGCACTTCCCGTGCGCCGCGCTCACTCCCATTCATCCATTACTACGGCTCTGTGCTGCCTCCCTTACCGTCCGTCGCGTCACCCTGTTCACACTGTTCCGACTTGACTCTTTGTCCTAACTGTTTCCTCTTTTATTTCAATAAACAGTTTATCATTGACCTGCCATCATCCGCGGCCACGTTATTACGTTGTTTCCACTGTATCTCCCATGTTATCGATCATGAATTTCCATGGTTTATCACAAGACGATACCGATTTCCTGCAAAAATTCAAATATTGCATCATATCTCGTCACGTTTCTCTACACAAATTTTAAAAAGTAAACGACTGAAATAACGAGTTATGCAAAATTTTAAAAATAAACAGCTCAGAAATAATTCCAGATAATATTTTATTTTCAACTTTTTGCAAACAAATTTCATGTATCATTCAATGGAAGAATTCTTAAGAAGTTTAATGATGCCAAGCCCTTTAATCGCACGTTCGAACGGGGTTATCTATGCGTTACGCAAAATTACATAACATTTTTTAAGCTACATAGATAACTGCCGTTGGAGCAGTGCCGCGTGGCATGCACACACTCTCAATAGATTTCGTTTCGAAGAAAGCAGAACACAATTATAGAGAACACAAAAATATGAATCTAACTCACTTCGTTTCCACGTTCGAGGAAGCGTAGCATACTTGACGTCTTCTTAAGCGTATCCCAAAGTGTCCTTTCGCAACATAAACGAAAAGACGTCTCACCACAACAATGACGATAACGACGATGACGACAATGATAACAACAATTCTCTTGTAGTCGTTGCAATGATGATGCTATTCAGTTTTAGGGCGACAACTTCCCCAGAGTCGGACTTTGTGCCCGTGCAATAATTCGCAGCAGTATCTCACCGCTCGCTACAGTTGACGACGTGGCGCTATTAAAATATTTCCAAGCGCGTCGAGATAGAAGCTGTCCTGTACCGCGTACCGCTTTTCTTCTGCGAATGCATCCTGGAAAAGAGAGAAAAGAAAAGGAGATAACGCCAGGTCACAGACGCCCTACGCTACGCTCGCCAAAGACGCGCGCGCTTCTGCAGCGAAAGCTGCAAACCACCATCATTAGCTTAATTCCAGGAAAGCATTTTACGGTCGAGTACTCGCGTCCGAGTATCATCGGCGCGATTCACCGAGATGCACCTTGGATGCAGGCAAGAGGCGCAGACTTTCGTTTACCGCCCATTTCATTTCGGAATATGTTTTTTTTTCTTTATGAATTTAACTCGAATCTGTGCCACTTTAATGCTTTTTCAAGTCTGTAAATATTTTAGACAGTGCAAATCTCGAGCGAATCGAGAGTTGAACGGTACATTAAGTGCAATTGGAATAGATTCCCAAGCTGTTCAACAGATGAGTCACGCTTAACAACGCGTTACGACATTTAATTTTCAAATGGTTTTATCTTATCAGATTCTTATAAACTTAAGTGTCGATGATCAAAAAATTGTACAACTTTTATATTTGTGAGACACTTGATTCTTTCTATCATCTTTCGCTGCGCGCGTGCGCGCGCGCGCGTGTCTGTATTTGAAAATAATGGGCTTGTTTTTTATTGCTAAACTGCAATAAAGCTTGACTTCTCATTTTCGCTACTGCGAAAAAAATTGTTCATTTGATTAAATTAATTGTTCACTTGATCATTTCTATCAATTAGTTTAATTTTAATCTTGGTTCAGCTAACTCACCTCTTTCTAGTTCCAAGAGTTAAAAAAAGATGCAGAGCAAATCGAGTTGAAATTAAAGTTAACTTACATTGGTAAAAACGGGCATAAATTAATTTATTTAGCTTTATTTCTTTCATTGGAGAATATACGAATTTAATTCAAATATAACATGTTTGACTTACACATATTGTTCATCAAAAGAAATAAAGACGAATTAAATTATTTAATCAGATGAACAATTTTTTTTCTTAGCGATACATTTCAAACATATACCTGATTCATCTCGAGTACAAACAAAAGTTTACTTCATTCAATCGAAATTATTCCATTATCGCCAGAAAACACAATAGAAATATAGGGAATAATTGAATAATTCCGATCGGAATCCATTCCGACTTTGTTCCATAATAGATGCCCAGCTATAAAAAAAATAGGATCTCGGAGCAAATCGTGGGACAAAAACAATCGATCATCGATAGCAAAACCATGCAGTTTGCCTTCTTTTTTTATTCGACTCCGTCGAAGATAATTTCGATCGTACGCAATAAAATTTGAACTTCCAAAGTGCGTCCGACGATACTACGTTGCTATAGTTACAATGTTTGCGGTATTTCAGCGTGGATAATATTGCGCAATAAACATAGCTGGATCGTGGTGGATCTTGTGGGCGCGAACGTGTAGAGCTCAGGCGACTGGTCGAGAAATAAAACGAAATCGACAAATACGGGGAGCGATATGGGGCGTCGAGAGAACAATTGATAGCAGACGACACGGAGACACCCATCGAGGCGCCCGATACATACAAAAATGACTCACATGATGACCGGTGATAATACAAACAACAAATCTCAATCGATACGATGAGATAGCGTAAATCCCGATTACGTTTATGAATATATAAGTATTTTTCTTTTTTTCTTTTTCTCGTCGTTACGTTCCGAGAAACACACGCACCGAGTCGGTACAGCCAGCTGATCCCGCGATCGTGTCGCTTATCAATCAAATTTCTCTCTCTTTTTTCCCCCCCTGCCGCTCCCTCTTATCAAAGCGTTTCGCTATCAACGTGGAGCTCCGGCGCACGCGTCCTCCTTCGATCTGTCGCGGCGCAAAGCGAATGCTGTTAAACTCGAGCTATTTAAAAATCGAACGCGATTTCTCTCGGCGCGATTTCGATCGGGTCTTGCGAACAGGATCTCGTGGCGTTCGCGGCGCGAATCTACGGTGCTGCACAACGAAAAAAACGACGGAGGCGAGGAAGATGAAACGCGCACGAACGCGTTACGACGCGTGCAATCGCACCGGAAGTAGCCCGATATTTCATTGCGACGGGGTAATCGGGCGTATTGTCGGCCGCGACCAAGTGAGACAAAGGCAAGAGGAAAAAAAAACAGAAAGAAATATGGCAACC